CTTGGCTATTGAAAGAAACCGCTGAGCTGCAAGTCGAATAGTACTGTGAGAGTGACGTATTGGCAGGCAACGTTTTGCATTTGTAGCCGCCAGCACCAGACACTGGTCCCGCGCTGCCGGTCCTAACAGATGATAAGGTTGCTGATTTTCCGGCAGAATCGAGCCAACTGGAACTCGTCGCGTTCCTCAACTTTGCCCTGCATTCCAATTCCTCTGCCCGCAATTCAGCATTTTCCTTTTCCTCTTGAATCAATCTACATGCACAAAGAAACGTTGTGTCTTATCCTGCTTTTAAACACAGAGAAATCGAACAAACTGTCAAACAGTTAAACCAAATACACATTGCACCAAACGAGAAACATGCTATATACAACAATAACTTCAAATGCAATTTGGAAAGCTAAGTGCTTATAGTTTACCTTATGTAAGAGACTTTCATATGAACTTATTTTAAAGCTATGCAAAGAGAAGACTGCAAATGCAGAGCTCGTTACTTCACTCAACGTTATATCCAAGGGCTAACGAGAAAGTCATGTTGCAAGAATTTACACTTGCTAGGAATTGTAGAATCTAATCTGCATCAATACCGAATGCTTCCTCAGAATGAAATCCTTCGTTTAGCGCTAATCTATCCTACTTAATGCAAACAGATCTATTAGACGACAAATAAATTAACATTACGATGCCATTAGAAGAAACCATTCACAACATCGCATGATGGTAACGTATCCCTTGCAATGCTAATAATTTCAATAGTAAAGAAGTCAACAATCTGACTGAAAGTGTAGGTTTGTATTCATTACTAAAGTCAGCATGATTCGTGTAACAAAAGTACGAAGTGCAACAGCTACATAAGTTCAATGTTTAACTGCTCTGGCCATAAATCTTTAATGAGAATCTTATGTGCCGAGATCCATCGCTTCTGGATTTTTCAGACTCTGTCCTTCGTATCTACTTTCGTTTCATTTCGGTTAAGACTTTCCATTAACGATTCATTATCAGAAGTCGGAATATATAAATTAATGAGATAATCCCTATCGTACATCAGCTGTCGCTTTGAAGGAAAGGTGACATTACATGCCAACTAAAGATATTACCAAGAATTGTAAATCTGTCATTGAATATCTGCTTTATTCACTGCAATCATGGGCAACTATCCGGCGTAGTCATCGGTTCAGAGATTTCATTTTGACCTGACAAAATACTGAATAAGCAAAATCAATAATAAAATTTCGATTTCATATAAGCCAAATATGCTACATGCGATAAAGCACAAGAAAGCTTATAGACCTGCTAGTATATGACGGAAAGAACCGATCAATTATGGGCAGCTGAAAAACATCGTCAACTAACAGCCAAGAGAATGTAAGAGACGCAAAAAGCAGCGAGTTCTTCGCGTAGTGACAGCAATACGAGTTGCACAAACTAATTAACTTCGATTGATTCACTGAAAAACAAGGCTAGCTTCTAAGAATATCAAACAAATCGATTTATCTAACCATTGTCACGGTCCGCTATTCCTTTATGAAAGCGGAACAACAGGTTCAAAATGATTCGAGTCATAATGAATGCTGAAATATCGCCGTGGCAGGTCAACGACCATCTGTACACTACATTACCAGATCAGAAAATCTTTTAAATATGTTTAAACGAACCTTAGCAATTTGACGGTACAAAGCAAACACGCAAGAAGCACTGTAATAATGCAGTAGAATCACTCACCTGATCTCCTTATTCACAAGATCGAGCTGCTCTTGTAGCATGGCGGCCAGGGTCTGTGCTTCTCGAGGGTTCTGGGCGGAAAGCATGTCCGTAGGAAGGCTGGACGGAGGCGTGATCGCCGCCGAAATGCATGGCAGAGCTATGTTTGGTGTTAGTAGCGGAGCTGCCGATGGCGGTGGCCTTGCAGTCGTTTCGTTCAAAACCGGTGGCTGATCAACCGCTGAACCGTCAGATGCCATCGAAAAATTGAACGCGTGCTGGACATTCGCCAACACATGAGCCTGCTGCAGCCGCTCCCATTCTTGCTCGTTTAGCGTCTGAATCTGCAGAACATAAATAAGTACGGTTAGCATCTAACCATGAAACCCCCCTATACATCAGTCATGGGAATACAAGAGATCCACGTTCCACAACCATTATGCATTAAATGAGTATCTATCGAAATTATACAAAACTCTAAATGCTAAAGTTAAAAAATACAACCAGTTACAGAAGATGCGGATCGTAGGTGGAGGGAAGACTGTGATGGACTTCTAGTGATTGGCCAAGTTCAGAGATTACTAACAACAACTGCAGTCAAGGGACCCTGATCACATACCAGGTAGTGAGACAGAATTGAAGATGAGAAGCTTATTACCGTAAGAACTTACCAGTGACTGAGAGAGGCTTTTAATCGAAGTAACAAATCTAATAAGAAGGGGCTGGATAACACAGCGTATCTCGAAACCATATTTTCTCCAATATGCAGAAAAGAGACGAAGTATCGAAGGCGTCAAGCGAGTGGAGATCATATAAACATGGGTAAATGCGAATGATTGGTACATACCAGAATTAAGTCGATTTCGTCGAAGCGAAGGCCATCCGAAAGATTTATATAAGACGTGAAAATTTCGGTTGTACCAAATTTGTTTCACTAGTCGTCTTGGTTAGAGAGCAACTGCATCATCCTATCACTCAATAAAAATGTTCATGCACTAATCCAAAAACGAACGAACCATTTCATCACTAGATTATTTAGAGATTATTGGCGCAAGACCCCACCAAGGTTCAATTTAAGCGGATTACAAATTTCCATTACTCAAAGTTGCTTGGAAGACAGAGAGCGGAGACTACAGCAGGTCATGGTTCCACAGTAATTGAGCACCGTTAAATCTACAACGAGTCTTTCCTCGTTACTTGCTGGAGCAGCCATTTGTTCATCAAGAAGCTGCAGGCGTGGTTACTCTTCATATGCAACCGTACACACATCAAAAACCACCTTCAAGGATAAGCTTCATGCTGAGAGTGCAATTTAACTTAAGAAAAATGCACCTACCAAGTGCTCAAATACAAGAGAGCTGTGACTCCTTAAACGGTCAATTAAGAAACTATGGGAATGTGGCAGTCCAATATGCCATTAAATCTAGTCTTTGAAGGGTTATGCGCCAAACCAGCATACTAAATATTAAGTAAATAATGATGATTAAATATTAATAACAAATTCTTATTAAAACATTTATACCATTCAACTCGTACTAGGTTCCGCATATTATGCCTACATTTTGCTATAAGTCACAATGCATAGCACAATTTTATAGCACAGCTTATTAAAACGAGTGCTATATACGAGTGCATAAATATGCCCCAAAATATAGAAAAGATGAGGGTCATAAATTATTATTAAAAACTTATCTAACTGCATTCAACTACCAAATGGAAAAATTTTACGAAGGTCTACGAGACACAGAAAGAAACTTCGGCTATAGGTTCATCAACTCAATAAATCGTTTGCACTTCACCGCATTTACTCATTCAGCAAAAGCTTTCTCTTCATCTTTACCTTCTTCAACCTCATTTTCATCGCCCCGTTTTCGTGTTGCTCACATTCATCTTATTCACATCTATCGTCATCAGATGCGTCTTCAGCCTCATAATCTTTACCATCATCACTATCTATTCTTTATCAACTGCATCGTTATCAGCAAAACCTTGTATGTGTCTAATTTTGCTTCTTAGTATGAGTTATATGCAGTCGTCTTTCTAAACCATAAAGCAGGATACCCAGAATACCAACTATACAGACACCTCCTTTTCATCCTTAACAATAAACACGTTGTCACTGGTAGCATAACCCTGGTTCACAACATGGTGTGGCAAGTGCTGGTCATCTACCTTCGTGATATCGTCCTTAATCGCGGCAACGCGGCCCTTTTGGGCGCGACGGGTAACGGCGGTCGTGACGATTCTTGGAAAGGTGACATTCGTAGAAGGGGGTTGCATCCTAAAACAAAGGGGTAGTAAGAATAAATTAACGAAAAGAATAAAAGCCCCAAAGACGACAAAACGCACCTTGCCTGAAACTGAGCGGTCCGTACGGCATAAAGCTGGCTTCGTAGAGCGTCGATCTCGATTAACAGCGATTCTTTGTCTTTACTTAAACGTCCCTGAAGCAGAAAAAATTACGGTCAATGTCCTACTCATGTGATAAACGCATGAACAATAACGCACTTTGATACGTTCGGTCTGTTCGAGCATTTT